TAAATTTTATAAAAAAAAATATAACTATTATATCTTCATGTATTCTAGTTAAAGAACACGATCTTAAAAATACAATAAATTATTATTATTATAATTAAAAAAACTACTTATAAAAATATTTGAAATATTAAAAAAAAAATAGTATCTTTTTTTTTTAAATCATAATATCATCATAATAACTATTACGTTTCGATAAATGTTATATAAGTAAAAATAGAATCTATCAAATATCACGATTTTTTCAATAGAAAAAAAAAGAAAGAAGATTGGAAAATATCGTCACGCAGTCGATAAGAGAAATTGATTCACAAATGGTCGAGTGTCGTCCTACTTTCATATTTAATTTCACTGCACTTATGTTTCCTTTAAACTACGCATCCTTGATGTCGATCGTAATATTTTCTTCCCTCTTTTTTTTTCTTATGATTGTTCTTGGTCAATAAACATAAAGTACATCGATACAACATATATTTTCTCCTCATCCTCGGAATTCAGTGAATTATTGCCGTGCGTGTAAAAATGCCCGGCTTGGCAGTTTGCAAACGATCCTCTGGCTATGTAAAAGTGGGAGTCGTACCATCCTCCTGGCCTCGGGTCTTGCATTCCAATTAGATTTCAATGAAAGGAACGTTCTAAGCTATGCTCGACCACTGCTATCCACCAGACGTGGCTCATTCACAAATCGAGTACTTTGTATTACGCGATTACTAGATGGGCCCGAGTGCGCGCGCGCACCTTCGTAATCGTGTCGCTAACTCTTCTCTTTCTTCAGACCAATTGAAAGGACCTACTCTCCTTTCTCTCGGAATTCTAATCAAATTTTTTATCTACTTACAGTCATAAACAGAATTAAATGGACAGTACATAAATTTTGAATAATCTTTAGCTTCATTTATTATGTCAGAAATAAATTTGAAACGTTTAACGTTTTACGTGTATGCAGATATCCAATATATATTTTTAGCATATAAAATTATTTAAAAAATGTTTTTCTTAATATTTACGCGTATTTGTTTGAATTAATGGTCTTGTGACACTAGAGCAGAATTAAATGAATTGAGCATAAATTTTGAATAATCTTTAGCTTAAATGAAAATCTGGTAGAGTCAACTCTAAATATTGATCTCGATGGGAAATGGATGCTATAACAGGACAATGTCCTAAACATAGTAGAAAGAAAACTAAAAATATGTTTACAAGATTGTGAAATAGAAGTTCTAGAATGGCCACTACAAAGTGTAAACTATAATCCTATAGAAAATTTATGAAGTTTATTGGATACACAAATACCATTAGAAAAATGTCATAATAAAACAGTGTTTTAAGGGAGAAGATGCAGTCAGGATTTTCCAAAAATGGATTTTTGTTTTTGGCACGTTTTTGAAGTATGATGTTTCGAAAATATTCTCTGAAAATATCAAGTTAATCCGATGAATAGTTTCCGAGATATCCTACAATTGATAAGTAGCGGACAGAAGCTGCAAGCCACCGTTTTTGACCCGCCTATTATATTTTATGAATAGTCTTGTGGAAACAACAAAAAAAGAAGAAACATCGAAAGCTGAAAATAAAGAAACGAATTAATTGACTGTATAGTCTTGTTATGTATCAGTATGTCTGTGTCCAAAAACTTATTTGATTATTTTATTATGAATCGTAGCAAAGATTCTAGAGAACTTTAGAGATCTGGTAATCTTCGTAAGTCGCGTACCTTTAAAAGATAAAATGTTTCCAATCCGAAAACAGCGGAACGTGATGAAAGTGTTACAAGCTCATCAGCTAAAAATTTAAAATGTGTCATATAAGATGATGTATCTGAAGATAGTCGTGTTGAATATAGCATACTAAACCTTATTTCTGAATTTCGGCCATTTCGAATCTTGTAAAGTGCAAAAAGTGTAATGAGGATTTTAGACAGCCAGAACACGTGGTTTGGGATATAAAATTGCGGTATCATGGGATGATTGTGTTAACAATAACATTCTTTGTAATAATGTAAGTAATTATTTAATTGGTATTTCTATAAGTACATAAATTAAGTGTAAAATTGGAAAACTCTTTCAGAAATTTTCAAAAATTTATAACTTAAAAATTATGAGCTTTAGCTAGATTTTGTAAAGAATACTTTCGTTTTTAAATTGCCCAAAATATAAAAAAAAATTAATTCATCGCGAAAAACTATAATTTTTTGAAAAATTGTTTAAACAATTGGCTATAAAAAATTGAATGCTCGACTTTTCGGCAAAAAATTGTGATATTCAGATTCAGCGGATCAAAATACATAAAAAAAGTTTAGCTTCATCCATCGAGTTCAAAATTTTATGAAAATATAATACCGTATCCAAATCAAAAAACTTTAAATGCATTTTTCTCGAAACTATAATATGTTTTTCAAGTCGGTGACCATTATAATTTAATAACCACTCGATGGATTTTGATAATATTTTTACTACTTATTAATAGCACTAAAAACTAGTCCTTCATTAAAGAATTTTCATTTATGTGAAAAACTTCGATTTTTTAACAATTTTTTTTAACAGTAGACTCATGATATTTTTGTCGAAAATCGAAAACAAAATGCCAAAACCGCCATTTTGTTAATTTTCAAAAAATAAAAGCTCTACTGAAAGACAAGATTTATTACTAAACTAATGATTTATATTTTTGTTTATATGATTCAGTAAGATGTTTTGAAGGTCAACGCGAAGCACTACTTGCAAAATGGGATCCAACAAAAAGATTGCGATATATGTTTATAAATAATTAATATTTTTTTTTGAAATTTTATAGAAGTCAAGTTGAAAGATAATGTAAAAACTCTGTGTAATCAGTTTTATAAAATAAACTTAATTATTCTAAAAAAAAAATTATTAAAAATTCTCTTTTTTTCACGTTTCTGACTGCATCTTCCCCTTAAACGAATTGCAATTAAAAGTTCAACAAATTGATCCAAATTATTTCCAGAAA